AGATGTTTTATATTATGTTTGACCGAAAAAAAAAAAAAAAAAAAAAATTGTACAACCCCTACTACTAATTCCTGCGTCCACCCCTGGTTATCATTGGTTCAAATAAGATAGTTCTCTTGAACCCTTTTTGCAAATTCAAATCAATGTTTTTTACCAACCTTATCACAAGATAAGAACGGGATAAGAAATTGATCTCATTTTTTAGGGATGTGCTTTCGTAAAGTTTACACGTAATTTGAACGAAACTTTCATTATGCACACCAACTGCTCGATAAAATGCTTGAACCATGTTTTTTATTTTTAATTTTTAATTTTATTTATTTATTTGTTATTATTTTTTTGCTGACTCTCTTCATCGCTTACCGCTCCCTCATCCGCCGACAATCATAGCCCATCACCATCGCCAATCGGTATCTGCTTCTACCATATTTACGCCGTCTCCACCACCGACGGCTATCAAATCCATAAAAAAATTTCATCTGAATCCTCTTTGCAAGGTCAGTTCCATTTTATTTAGTGTTATTTTTTTATTTGTTGATTTTGTTATTTTCGTTTAATTTCAATTTGATTTGTTACTTTGAGTTCGAAGATGCATCAGTGAATGCACATAAAGAATGATTCACGTATCCAATTTTGTATTCTATAGGTCAAATATTATATTAGTTTTGTATTGCTTTTAGTGGTTTGATTAACATGTTTGATTGATTACACTATGTTTTGCATCGTAGTTTAATTAACACGAAGAGATGAAGCATAAAGCTGGTGATCGCTATTTCTTTTCAAAGGATTCTTCCAATTTCGTTCTATATGTACATTTAATTATTTGGTTTGAAATTGAATAATCATATTTCATAAATTATTTAGGCTTATATGTAATTAGCTCTCTCTATTGCGGTTGGAGTAGCCTCTTTATGGGCAATTTGGTTAATGTCATTCGTGTTGCTCCTAGCAAATCCATTTAGGTACAATTTTTTCTTTTTCTGTTTAATCTTCATATTGTTTAGTTGATGTTTAAATTGAAAGTGATGATTATATGCTATGGAATAATCAGAACAAAAAAATTAGATGGATGACACAAGGACCATTAATGATGTTTTTTTTTCATAATTCTATTATGCTTCCAACTAATCCAGGATGCAGCCTGAGTCACCTTTGTTCCACTTCGATGGATTTACTATCGATATAAAAAATGGCATTATTACCTTTTGGTAAACTCCAACAACCAAACTACATTCATTCTAAAACTTTAATTTCCAATTATTTATTCTTCTAACGACCTTGCCCTAACCCAAACTGCCCAATGTTACGTTAATCAGGTTGTAAGTGGCATATATAGTTTGTACAATTTAAAAGGTTAAATATCTATGGGTTGAGCAAGTTCCATAAAACAGGCCAACATACTAATGAAAATGGTGCATACAGTGGAGTTTCTAGAAGATTTTTCTAGAAATGAAAGGTCCAAGTGGTTGGGAGCCTCTTTTTTGATAAAGAATAGCACATGGCAATATGTCCATCTCTCATGGAATTGTAGAAAAGTCAAGACCAAGCTCCTTAATGGAATGTTTAACCGATCCATTCTGGATCGACTGAATTCGTACAGAAGTTGTAACATGGGAAAACCACGGAAAACACGACTTATTTGAATAACCCGGTGACCTACCAATTGTAGAAGTATGATTTTTGGCAAGCAATAAGCACTTAAATAATACAATTCAAGTGTACCATCTTCTTTCTCATCAAAGAACTTTGGACTTTGAGCCTTAGAAAAACCTATGGCGGGATAGATAGATAGTAGGAAATCTTTCTTTATTTTAGATTTTTTTGTTAAAAAAATGATTTAGATGAAGTGAGTGTGATATACTCTTATGTTCTCTATGCACTCATATAATATGTGAAGTATGTTATTCCTTTTGAAGATAATAATAATAATAATAATAATAATATAAGTGAAAATAAGGGAAAATGGTCAATACTAATACAACCCATTTCATTAAATTATGAAAATTTGTTTTTTTGTATCACTTTATGACGTGGTGCTAATGTAGACATTACTGGTGTGAATTAGGTTACAATTGCTTGGGTGTACAATTGAGATGTTCATCAACGAAGAGTTAAACAAGCCTCTTCTTCCTCTCAAGATTCATGAGAAATTTTTTTAAAAAAATCAGGTGAAATGTCTATTTTGTTTTTTTACGAATTTTGATCTTATTCCATTCCATTCCTTACAGGTTGTGTCCATTCCTAATTACAATGTCAGTGTTGCGGAATTGTTGGTTCCCGCGAGTGAGCTTTCAAAGAATATAAGGTGATTCCAATTCCAACTTTCCAACTCTCATCAGATCAATTACATTGTTGTTGCATATATATATATATATATATATATATATATATATATATATATATATATATATATATATATATATAATTACTTACTCTGACTCCATTCCACTACGGCTGGAATGGAAGCCAGTGGAACTAGCAACATGAAATCTTCCAATAATGGCTGCATCTTTTTAATTGGGACATTAGATTGGGCGAATGTGGAAATTAGGTAAGAAGTTGGAGAATACAACTTTTTCCTTTTTGATGCTCGAACCCATTACGAAACGGAAGAGCTGAGGACAAGGTATTGTACAATTTATGCGATAATACTTGGTGTAAACACAAGAAATAACAACAAACTTTTGTTTATTTGTGTATTATAGCATAATACATTTATTTCTTTCTATTACAACATTGCACTTAATTTTTATTTTTTTTCATATTAGGGCGTTGTACTTTGACAATTACCTAACTACGGCATTGCACTTTCTTATATATATATATATATATATATATATATATATATATATATATATATTATATATATATATATATATATATATATATATATTATTTTAGAGTTAATGGTGAGGCAAATATTGTTGCAATAACTGCCACCAAGGAATATGGTAAGACAAATACCTAAAAAAAACTACTAATTTTTTGTTTGTTACTGCAGTTCAGGTAAACCCAATAATAATAGATATCCAATTTTACCCTTGGGTTTGGAGCGACTTCAAGTGTTGCACAATTTTCTTTTCGCCTGTTAGAATTTTGGGACTATAGTTATAATTAGATCATGCTTTGTTTCTTAAACTTCAAAGATGCAGTGTAGGAATTGTTTTATATATTTTTTAGCATTATACATGCCAAGAAATCTCAAACACAACAGGTAAGAGTTTGTTAACACATGCTCACCATGAACGCAATTAGAAATATATGAATTTAGAACATTCAAATTGAATGTGTGGCCGGTACTATTCTAACCCCGCAAAGTGGGGATTCTTCACTAGTTTAATTGAAATGTGGAGATTGCATGTGTATATCAAACTTGTACATTATTATTTGCTATATATAAATTGGTGTGCCAATCGTATATGATACCTTAATGCTAAATTGGGAGCTTCATGTGACCATTAAATTCTTATGCTTCCTTATTAAAAGTTTAACTTATTGAAGAAGAAATTTATACGCATATGATTCTTGTATATGATGCTTACAAGAAAATAAGTTTTGTTGTATATGCATGGCATGTGATTGGAGCAAGTAAGGAAAAGGAAAATTCAGTACACTTCATGGCCTCTTCTTTGCAACAAACGTCATGATTACCAATATGAGATTCCAAATTCATATAAGGCTTGTACATCATGTTTAAAGAAAAATATATTTGTTTGGAAAATGATTTATTACATTTGGTAAATAAAATGAAGTTGTGGGACTATATATTTGTTTGGAAAAGGATTTATTATATTTGGAAAATAAAATGACAATGTGGGACTACATCAGCAATTATTATTGAACAATATTTTTTTTGGATTTTTGGACTTTTGCCACTAAACTTTTTTATTATAGAGTTTTGCCACAAATTTTTTGGATATTTGTAGGCTTAATCCTTATAAGTTTGTAATTTACAAAAAATGTCGATGTGAAGTTTTTTTTTTTCAAAAACACTCCTTTAAATTTCTTAAGAAAAAACCTTGTCAGCATCCCTCACAAAACATGAGGGAACACTTTCAAGTTGTTACTAAACTAGGTGTGAGAACCATGTATTACATTAGTTTATTTTAAAAAAAAATTAAATATGAAATTTTAACCATTTGAAAAGTTTAAATTTAAAAGAAAAATAAGAAAAATTTTGAATTATTAAAATCAATGAGGCTTTAATGTATTGAATACATTACATATATAAACTATTTCTAATAAATACCTTACATATATATTACCTTAAATATCAATTGTGGAATTTTAATTTAATAAAATGAAAAATACAATAAAATGACAAGTGGAAAATAGAAAATTCTAAAATTCTAAAAAATGACGTCTGTCCAAATAAAGGAGAAGATGACATGTGGCAAAAAGTTCTTTATTTATTATGGAGAATTTCGAGTGTATAAGAAAATATCTTTTTTTATTATTATTTCTATTATCTTTTGTTTTTTAGCAATCACTATAATGACGCTTGTTAAGATCATATAATTTCATTTCTACTCACTACCCAAATTTAGCTTCAGTAAGCTACATTTGTTTATTTGATATATAATCGTATATATACTATGTGAAACAATGATTCAAACCAAAACATGTATTTTCTTAAATTATTAAATAAGTTATATCGATATTAAATCTAAACACAATTGTCCTCAACAAGTTCGTTTCAAGAATTTTAACTAGTTGTTGCAAATTTTAATTTGTTCACCAATAAACCTTGTAAAGATTAATGATAAGACAAACATAACGTTGATAGTATTTATATATTATAAACGGATCAAATTTTAAATAATGGAACATGTAATACCAAAAGCATGAAATATAAATAAGTGACGGAAAAACAAGTACAACCTATGACTTTTTTTTTTTTGTTTTTTTTAATCTTTATAGACAATTATTAATCAAGACACAACTGTAATAGGAGAAACTAATGATTAACTGAATTAAAGCATAAGATTTACCATGATCCATCAACTACGATTGTCACTGATTGTCACCGATGTTGATGTTGACTTACCATATATTGGTGATACCTCCTCATATTGCTTCACAAGGCCAACATTAGTTTGATCTATAAGGGAAACATGTGACAATCTAATGCATTCTAACTCAATGGAAACTTCTTTCATTGTTGGCCTATTTTTTCCATTGAAGTTCAAGCATCGCATTGCCAAATTAGCTATAGACAACAACTCGGTCCTAAAACCTTCCTTAACAATCATTGCATCAAAAACAGACATCGCACGACCTTCTTCCATGGCTAGCATAAAGTGTGTAGCTAAACTTCTATTTTCACCAAATCTAGTTAAGGAGATTGGCTTTTCTCTTGTCAAAAGTTCCAACAAAACAACTCCAAAACTATAGACATCACTTTTTTCAGTGAACTGGCTCGATTGAAAGTACTCTGGATCCAAATAACCAAAAGTCCCTTTAACTAATGTAGTCAAATGAGTTTGATCTATTGATACCAACCTTGAAGTACCAAAATCAGAAACTTTTGCTCGATACTTTTCATCCAAAAGTATATTAGTTGTCTTGATATCCCTATGGTATATCGGAATGGAGGTTGCTGAATGTAAGTAAGAAAGTGCTCCTGCGATCTCGGTAGCAATTTGTAATCTCATATATAAAGAGAATGAAAACTCATCAGTTTCATTTTGAATAAGGTCATATAAATTACCATTTGAGACGAACTCAGAGACAAGTAGTGGGACCTCGGTCTCTAGGCAACATCCTAATAATTTGACCACATTTCTATGGTTGACCTGTGAAAGAATGACTACCTCATTGATGAACTCTACTACTTGACTTTCATCAACCACCATTGATTTCTTGATTGCTACGATCCGTCCATCTGCTAACATACCTTTATATACAGTACCCTGACCACCTCGACCAAGAATTCTATTCTCATTAAAATGGTCAGTAGCCTTCTCCAATTCTTTAGAGGTGAAGAGTATGGTTTCATCAACATCAGTTGCTTGTTGTTGTTTAAGAAGGAGACCACCATTACGCTTAAAAAACCTTTGTTTCCTTCTCTTAGCTTTAAGTTTCTTGATTATTTTGTATAATGCATAGCCGATCACCATTAGGAAAAGCAATCCCATGCTTATACTAACACCTAAAAGAAGAACATACAATACAATAATTAACATAAGTACCTAAACACATTCAATAATTAGCAGTATAGACTATTTAGTCTTCAAAACATAAATTTGATAGAATAGTTGCAAAGGTGTTAAATTTTGCAATATTTTGTGTCCAATGTGTTTGGAATATCCGAAGGTCATTAATCATGTGTTATGGAAGTGTGCCACTTCGGTGTTAGTTTAGGAGAAGGTTTTTCTTAGTTAGACTTTGAAGTCCCTTTGGTGGAAACTCTAGATGATGCGTTTGAATGGACTAAGCAGTTACATGTATGGGCTCTGAAAAAGAAAGTGTTAGAAGCTATTATGTGTGTGTTAATATGGGTCCAGTAATGGTACAAGAATGATTTTGTGTTTGGCGTTTCTCCCGCGATGGAAGGTAGAGTTTTTGATATTGTAGTTGAGTATTTGTTTCTTTGACTTGCTAGTAGGATAAAAAAGTGTCGGTTAGTTGGAGTTTAAAATCCTCTTTTAGCTAGTTGGTTTTAATTGGTTTGGTTTGCTAGTTGTTTGCTAGATTTTAATGAAGTATTTAGCTGTTCAAAAAAATTGATAGGATAACGAGTGTTCACAAAGTAAATATTTGGTGTTTTAAACTTTGTCATTGTTATGTTTGGTTTTTTTTTAATAAAGATATATCAGTAATATAATTTACATTTTACAATAATAGCATATATTTTATTGATTTTCTAAGCTTTATATCTATTTTTAACCTAAAGAGAAATAAAATAACCTTCTAATTTTTATTCAAACTATCTTCTTATGTATTTAAGATAATGACAAGTGTCATGCAATTTAATTTAACTTTGATTATAATGTTAAACTTGTAAACATATAATCATCTTAAATAAATAGAAAAAAAAAAATAAAAGCAAAAGATAATAAAAAATATATTTAATTTCTCTAACTTGAAATATCATAATCTTCTACACATTTCTTATTACCTTTTTGGAATATTTTGAGTATATATATATATATATATATATATATATATATATATATATATATATATATATATATATATATATATATATATATATATATATATATATTTATTGGGTGTAGTGAAATTTCTACATTTATTACTACAACTTTTATCTTTGCTTTGTTATGTTTTTTATATTACTTATATTTCATAAAACTTAATGAATTTATTCATAATTATAAATTAAGGAATCAGAATCATATAATGTATCCTAAATACATATTAAATTCTACGTTTACCTTGCTATTTTTCATTTTACTAATTATTTTATTATTCGAGTAAATGATTTTTTTTTAAAATTATATAGCAAACCAAAAACATAAAATGTATCATAAAGAAATTTGATAGACTATTTAGTCTTCAAAACATAAATTTAGTATAGACTATTTAGTCTTCAAAACATAAATTTGATAGAATAGTTGCAAAGGTGTTAAATTTTGCAATATTTTGTGTCCAATGTGTTTGGAATATCCGAAGGTCATTAATCATGTGTTATGGAAGTGTGCCACTTCGGTGTTAGTTTAGGAGAAGGTTTTTCTTAGTTAGACTTTGAAGTCCCTTTGGTGGAAACTCTAGATGATGCGTTTGAATGGACTAAGCAGTTACATGTATGGGCTCTGAAAAAGAAAGTGTTAGAAGCTATTATGTATGTTTTAATATGGGTCCAGTAATGGTACAAGAATGATTTTGTGTTTGGCGTTTCTCCCGCGATGGAAGGTAGAGTTTTTGATATTGTAGTTGAGTATTTGTTTCTTTGACTTGCTAGTAGGATAAAAAAGTGTCGGTTAGTTGGAGTTTAAAATCCTCTTTTAGCTAGTTGGTTTTAATTGATTTGGTTTGCTAGTTGTTTGCTAGATTTTAATGAAGTATTTAGCTGTTCAAAAAAATTGATAGGATAACGAGTGTTCACAAAGTAAATATTTGGTGTTTTAAACTTTGTCATTGTTATGTTTGGTTTTTTTTTAATAAAGATATATCAGTAATATAATTTACATTTTACAATAATAGCATATATTTTATTGATTTTCTAAGCTTTATATCTATTTTTAACCTAAAGAGAAATAAAATAACCTTCTAATTTTTATTCAAACTATCTTCTTATGTATTTAAGATAATGACAAGTGTCATGCAATTTAATTTAACTTTGATTATAATGTTAAACTTGTAAACATATAATCATCTTAAATAAATAGAAAAAAAATAAATAAAAGCAAAAGATAATAAAAAATATATTTAATTTCTCTAACTTGAAATATCATAATCTTCTACACATTTCTTATTACCTTTTTGGAATATTTTGAGTATATATATATATATATATATATATATATATATATATATATATATATATATATATATATATTGGGTGTAGTGAAATTTCTACATTTATTACTACAACTTTTATCTTTGCTTTGTTATGTTTTTTATATTACTTATATTTCATAAAACTTAATGAATTTATTCATAATTATAAATTAAGGAATCAGAATCATATAATGTATCCTAAATACATATTAAATTCTACGTTTACCTTGCTATTTTTCATTTTACTAATTATTTTATTATTCGAGTAAATGATTTTTTTTTTAAATTATATAGCAAACCAAAAACATAAAATGTATCATAAAGAAATATAAACCCAAAGGAAAATAATTTTATTAAGATTAATAATTAATTCAGTTTATATTACCTTGATACCTTTTTATAGTTTAAATGAAACTCGTTAAGTTTATAAAAATAATAAATATTACAAAATATAAAGTAATAAACATGCGTTGAGTAATTTGAATTTAAACACGAATTTACATTTTATCATACATTTTAGGTAAACAACACAAAAGATATTAAGTTTACACTAAAATTTTAATTTGACACTGTCTTTTTTTGATTTCAAATTTGCCAATATATTTTCTAATTTTTTATAATTCTGACCACTTAACCGGTCAACTCGTCGGGTACCTGCTAACATGACACGATGACGTGTTAATTTGATAACGTGGCATGCTGACATTACATACCGACGTGTCAAAATTGATTTTTTTCCACAAAAGATACTAAGTTTTCATTTTTTTTTTTTTTTTTTGATTTTGATAGTAAGTTTAACTTTTTCTTTCAATTGACCATTTCCATTTGAAAGCGCACAAATATTTTTAATACATTTTAAACCGTATATATATATATATATATATATATATATATATATATATATACATATATATATATATATATATTTTCATTTAAAAATCATACTTTTGTATAAATAAAAGTTTTTTTTTTATTACACTCAAACCATAATAATATGTATAAATATGTATTAGTTATATGACAACCATATTTTATATTAAGTACACAAACTTAAAATGAGTTTGGTGGTTAGGAAGCATGTAGTCCATCAAGGCCCAGATGTTACGTTTGCAACCCGTGAAATTTTTACATTTTATTTGAAGCTTATGGTTAGTTTGGTTCTTATGATATAACTAATGCATATTTATGCATAACATTATGCTTTGAATGTTAAAAAAAAAAATAAAAAAAATAAAAAAAAAATGTATATGAATAGAAATATGGTTTTCAAACGAAAAATATATTTATACGGTTTAAAATATATATATATATATATATATATATATATATATATATATATATATATATATATATATATATATATATATATATATAGTTTCAAATGGAAAATGGTAAACATTAAACAAAATTGGAAAAAATGATGTTCAATTTGGAACAAAAGAACTGAGTGTCAAATAAAAGATAGAAAATTAAATTAAGTGTCAAAATCGAAAAAAATGAAAACTTAGTGTTTTTTATGAAAAAAAAAATTTGACACATCAGCATGTTATGTCAGCATGACACGTCATCAAAATTGACATGTCATCATGTCACCTCAGCAAGTAACTGGGATGACCGGTCCAGTGATCAAAATTGTAGAAAAATTGAAAAACAAAGTGTCAAATTTAAGACAAAAAGAAATACACAATATCAAATTAATTTTTAGTATAAACTTAGTGTCTTTTGTCCTATTTACCCTACATTTTATAATTCCTATTCTATTTACAAACAAATAAAATTCAGCAAGTTTATCAAAAAATAACTAGGATATTGTTACTACGTGTAAGTTTTAAATTATATTAGCAATATATCGGTAGAAGAGCAAAATACATTTCTAATTTCTATAATTTTCACTAATAATTCCAACTCTTTTTGCAAGTATCAAGACGAATTCTAGAGAAGTTTTACAAGTATTGTGTTTCTATAAAAAGGCTTATAATTGATAATTCTAAAATCAGTGTGTTTGAACGTTGGAAGGTTAAAACGATTTTATATATATATATATATATATATATATATATATATATATATATATATATATATATATATATATATAAGGGTTCAATTGAGAAAAAAAAATGTTGAGAATGAATGAATCATTCTAGCCACACATTTATTTTGCCGCAAAACACTTAGACGTACCGGCAGAATTTGAGACGGATACATATGTGTTTTTCCAACCAAACATGTTTTCTTTAAAGTATAGTAATCATTACCTTAATATACACACAAACATATATTTTTTTTTATTTTTTTTATTTTTAGAATGCTATTTTCATCGAAATTTATTTTAAATATATAAAAATTCATAATTGTTTATTCTCTATAAATAGACATTCATATTGATATATTTTTAAGATAAAATAAAATAAAAATTTAGAGTTTCAGCTATCGTTATTTATAAGTGAATAAAAATGTATCAGATTTTTATTAAAGTATATTTGTTATTCATTTATGAATAAAACGCATGCTTAACTTTTTTACAGTTTAAGTATTGTTTATTTATGAATATAACACATTATAAAGTTTTGTTAAATAAAATATTTTTTTTTACATCATCTTTCGTCACATGTTGTATTTATATATGAATAAAACGTATATTAATTGTCGTAATATGTTATATTCATATACTAATAAAACATTTTTAAGATTTTTGTTAAAGTTCATTTGTTATTCATATATAAATAAGTAGTATGTTAAAAAAAGATGAAGTGTTTTGAAAATATGAATTACTTATTCATATAGAAATAACAATTGAATTGTAACAAAATTATGATAAATGTGCTTTTCGTATATAAATATAACTTGTGAGGAAAGTCAATACAGGTTTTATTCATATGTAAATATAACATGTGACGAGAGTTGGTGTAAGTTGTAAAGAGTTTATTATATGTCATATTTATATATGAATGATACTTCATCTATAAAAAGAAAATTAATCATATTTTTTATTCATAATTGAATAACGAATGTGCCGTACTAAAAATATAATGCATTTTATTCACTTATGAATAACGATAGCTGAAAATATATATATAAAAAAAATTATTTTATATTAAAAGTATATATCAATATAGATGTCTATTTGTAGAGAATAAAAAATCATGAATTTTGATATATTTATAATCATTTTTCGATATAAATAGTTTCTTAAAAATAAAAAAAAAACAAAAAAAACTGTGTTTTTATGTATATTAAGGTAATAATTAGCATAGTTTAAGGAAACATGTTTTGTTTGAAACACATATGTATTCCTTTTACATTTCTGCTGGTATACGAAGGTTTTGCGACAAAAATAAATGAGTGACTGAGAATGATTCCCCATTTTCAATCTTTTTTATTTTTTCAATTGAACTTACCTGTATATATATTAGCGGTTTCATTGCTCACATAAAAGTCTAGTAATTAACTGAGATGATGAGATTGTTATGTTGGATTATATAATATTATGTTTACCATAGTATGTGATATTATGATTTATTGTATATTTTTTTGGATATATAATAAATCCAACGAAAACTGCAATAATAACATAAACTAGCAACAATTTTGTCATTTTTTAAATTTATAAGAAATTTCATATTATCTATCTAATCTTATTTAACTTAGTATATCCATCTCATCAAATCATTTTCCGCCAATTTTCCGGGAAACATACATTTTACTTATTCCATTGCTGACGTGGATACATAATCATAAATGAACCGATGAGATGTATTAAATTTTACGGTAAACATAACATTATATAACTCATAATATCCATCTTATTAACTCATTTAATGACTAGTAGTAGATGTCTAGGTTAAATATAAATTGGTAAAATGTATCTTACATAGAAAAATTGTCAAATCATCATTTAATTTTAGTTTGAGACGTATTCATAAATTATGGTAAAATAATGAGATTTTAATGGACGCGGGGAAGTAATAAAATCGAAAAACCTAAAAAAAAAAAAAAAAAAAAAAAACAGGTCAAATTGTCCTTTTTACCGGTAATTCATACTTTTTCGTAAATAAATTTCAGTTCGGTACTTATTCTTAAATTAATGTAAAATACAATGAATCTTAAGTGTATAATTGTTAATGACATAACTATATAAGGCTTGATACACATATAAAGTTAGCAAAATTTGATTTTTTTTCTTCAGGTAGTAAAATTTGAATTTTTTTTCCAGCAAGTAATCTAAGGTGTGGTTGTTTCAGAATTCTAATGAACATTAACCCTCAAATTATTATTTTTCTTTGAATTTGAACCAATATGTCATCCCAGATGGCTATACATAGTTTATGTAAATATGTGATCATTCTTTAATAAATAATATATAAGAAAATGCTGAACTAATTATTTTGAAATTTAACATGAAAAATATAGAAATTATTTAATATAATAGTAATACATGAAAGGTAGTTGATATTTAAAAATACGTGTTTAACAAACCTTGGTTAGTGAAGTGATTTTTATTTTTTTTACATTCAGGTACTTATTTTTTTTAAACAGCGGAACAGCACTTAACCTTTTCTTAAACAGATGAATGGTTGGGGTTATTGTTTATAAGCTATAATAAATAAATAAATGGGTTAGTAGTTGTTGAACCATGCCTACACGAATTTGATGGGAAAGTAAGTAGAAAGGAATTTAAACTCATATAGTGTGTTAGAGAATAGCTTACCCAGAATGACACCTAAATTTCTCCCCTTATAAATATAACAACTTGTAGCCGAGTCCGCGTCAAGATTTAGCCAACAATACCCTCCCTTTAGTTGACACTTTTTGCATTCTGGAGAAGTATTGTTGTCGTCTTGGGTATCTGTATTCCACGAAAGTGTTATGGGAACGTAAGTGTTGTTCTTGTCAATTGGAAAGCCTGCTTTGAAGTATGAACTGTCCATCAGGAAGGCAGACCTACATATCTCGTCTCCAGCCGGCCCTTCCAAGCCTGTTACATTCAACCTAAACGTCTTGATATTCCTATTAGTACTATCAAACGTGGCTTGGCAACAACCAATGCCAAAGCAGTTGTTTCTATCTCTGACAGTATCATTACGACAAATCGTTGAGCAACTGGCAACAATAGTCTTCTTCACCATGACGTCAGCATTAATGCCACACCCCTCAACGAAGAGTTTGTTAGCATAAGTGGAAATATAAAAGGGACTCTCTTTGCTTAGGACAGGAGTGCTATGCTGGACTGGTCTCGCACAATCATAACTCATGGAGACCTTAACAGTAAACTCTCCTCCATTTACTCTCAAGACCTCCGTGTTGTTGAGTGCAGACAGATACGGTGTCGAGGAGTTACAATCAATATTGTACCATTTGTTTAGTGAACAATTTGTTCCAATCCCGAAAGGGTATGGAATCAATATCTCTCCACACCTATCATTGCATCCTTTTTTGCTGATTCTCTCTGCTTTTGTTACTGTTGCTGCTAAAGAGATCAAGATAAGTAAATGCAAAACTTGAAGGAGTTGCATTCTGTTTAAAACGACGATTAAAGGCTTTGAAGCAAGAAAAAATATAAGGATAGGTATAACAATCATAACCATGTGAATTTCTGTGCTCGAATGCCGTGTCTATTGGATTACTTAATGGAGAAATTTAATCCTTAGCTGACCTTGAGTCAACGGGAACCACCGTTGCTCCCATTTTCTTCCAAAAAAACGAGTGGCTGAGATTGCAATCAAGTTTGTAGGTATAAGCCTATAAGGATTAATCAACGCGGGCCAAGTCCAGAAAAAACTTCCAACACGTTGATAAGATTTTGATGGCTATTTTGGCACTACTAGAAAATAGGAAGTTTTGCTACAGAGCTATGAAAAATTTTGGTAGTTAATTAGTTACAGAATCGCTACGGATTAGATGCAGAATTAGACGCCTTAATATATTAACGGAATAGCTGATGGAATAGCTACTGATACTAGTCCGTAGCTAATTAGCTACGGAATCCGTAGCTATTCCTTAGCTAATTAGCTACAGAATGGCTACGGAATATCTATGGATACTAATTCGTCGTGATTGGGTAGGTAATTAATTAGATACGGAATAGCTATGACATAGCGACGAAAGAAAACAGCTATAAAATAGCTACGGACTTATAATTTACATTATTATTATTGTTATTATTGTTAATCCGATTATTATTATTTTACATTAACTCTTAAATTTTTTTTGGATCATTTTTCTTACATATTTAAGACACAAACAATTAAAAATCATACTAATAATACTATTAATAATAATATTTATATGTTCATAATACTATATAATAATTGTAACAAAATGTATTTAACACAAAAACAAACAATTAAACGAAAAAAACTACGTTTAACACATTAATAAGGTGAAACAATCTATGTTTATTTATAAATAATGAAAAATGATTATAATAAAGGGACATATGTATATTTGTATGTGTATGCAGGGATGATTTTAAGGGGTTCCCAGTGTGGCACCGGCAACCTTTAACTTTTCTGGCCATAGTGTAAAAATTTTCGATTTTTTGATTTTTTTTAAAACTATTTTTCTTGTTTCGGCAACACCTACTATGTATTTCTGCGTCCGTCCCTACCATTTTTTGAAATTAATTCAAGTAAATTTTAACTTAGCAGCCCACATATGGACAAAAAGAATTTAAAAACAACACTTTTTAAACAACCATTGATTTTATATCATACCATTTTCTGAAACCAATGATTTTCTATGTATACAAAACTACAAAAAACACTATTACATAAACATATTAAATACGTTTTGTAGAAGAAAAAAACGATTTATATAATACAAAATGATAAAACCTATTTCTGTCATATGATTGCAATATCAAAAAAGTACCTAACAGTGGCATCCAACCAAACACGTTTCTTTCAACAAACATTGATTTAGTTTAACATAAGAGCAAAGGGAAGAAGGGGAATACATGGCCTGGGTGACTTGTTTGAAAATTTTGGAATCCCTAGTAAATTGTTAAACCTACTGTCAAAGTAAATATATAATATGGAGATAGGGAATATGTGGTTGTTATCATGTGACAAATATTAGATATAGAATTCCAAAACTACATAGTACTAGCTTAAAAAACTAATGAGATATAATTGTAAATCTTCTTCCTAAAGTCACTTAACTATACTCTCTTTCTTATATACCAAGTGGATACCTAAAACAAAATTTGGTAATGTCATGATCAAACTTATAAAAACTCAATACAAACACTTTCTGGTTAATAATGGAATGTAGGGAAAATTGATTGTATTGAAGTAAGTGTATGAAAATATCACTTAATTCAACTTTAAACTTAGGCTTGGCTTTCCGATGAATGTTCAAATGGTTGATGAATAATAAACTAGTTTTGGGACATTACTAGTTTTGAAAAAAAAAATGTTGATTTTAACGTTTCGTGGAAATCTTATTCGGGGGATTTTAAAAAGGAAATCAGCATAAAAGTCCCTATACCATATAGACCCCTTTCACTAAAAAAAAAAAACCTCATTTTTTTTTAAGTCAAAACACAATAATTCTAATTTATATATCATTTTTTGATTTTTTTTTTTTGTGATTTTCTTTAATAAATATCATTACTACAATCATAACAACCATTACTACAAAACTGGGATCTATCCACGTAAAAAAAAAACCCTGTAATTAAAGACATTTTATGTCAGTTTTTTTAAGAACATGATAGGAAAGATCGTGCCATGGAAGATATGTTACGCTGTCATTGAATTGTAGTGAGTATAACTCATGAAAACCCGTTATTATAGGTCAAACCCATCATTATATGCTAGGGTGTTTTTGGAGATATATGTATCTTATATTAATAATCATCATGAATAATAAACTTATAGTGATGTTTTTTTTCCCTAGAGTCATAAATGTTCATTTACGGTCACCATTTATAAATATTATCGCGGCCATTGTACACTTTTGGAGACACAACTGTAATTAAGTTGTAAGGATCAATAAGCTATCTTTACTAACATGTTAATGGTTCATCATTACTGTCACACCCCCAAAGTGGAAACGTTCGGCGGCGGAGGACGTCATGTACAGTATCATAAAAATGCACAATAGTAAACAAACAACAACACCATTCATTGCATTCATAATATAATTTAATACAAGTGTGTTCTGTGTATAGTTTGAAAGACACCAAAATATGAATCAAAATAAAAGATGAGTCTCGAATGTGCTTCGTCTTCTCAAAACCTGGTCCAGTGTACATGTTTACTGGTGACCTGAGAATACAAGTTATTTTGAAAGAGTAGATTAGCATTTAAGCTGGTGAGTTCATAAGTATTTTAGTGTCAATGTTTGTATAAGTTTGACGAAAGTGTTTGTAAGTGTTTGATGTAAATGTTTGTATCTCCTAGAAAATCCTATATGTTCTACTTTATAATGAAATGTAGCCTTCTACCAAGACCCGAATGTTCTGTATGTTTCTTTTGTAAAAGTGACTGTTTTTCCCAAGTATGACTATCATTACCAGAAAATAGTTTACATTACCTTTTATGTGAGAAGATCACTATATGAATGTAATGGGAAAATGAAGATGTACTATAGTATTGTATATAGTAACTATCGATGTACTAACTACATTAAACCAATTGTTTAATTAAGGTAAAATGTGATGAGATTATAACCATACTTTATTGAATAGTAACACACGACGATCAAAGACGTCGAAATGGTATGACATTCGTTACCCGTGGACCTATAGGTCCCACTGTAGCTAGCAGCAAGGTGTAGGATAGTCAATCCCGTATAGATCTATACACAAATTCACGCTCTCCCTCCAGGAGACTCTGGTTACAAAACGTGACACAACATTATGTTGCCATGCCATTAAGTAGTGGCTCACATCAATGTTATATTGTTCTTGTATTAGTGTAGTATGTTCCTTCTGTTCTAGTGTATAGTATGTTCTTTCTGTTCTTGTGTATAGTATGTTCCCTCTGTTCTAGTGTCTAGTAAGTTCTTTCGTTATAGTGTATAGTATGTTTGAACTTACTCGTGTATGAACTGAATCTTGTAAGATTCATTGTTCTAGAAATGGTGAGTAGTAATCCTCTAAACTATACCTATTATACTTTACTAGTAATGTTGTTTGAATGACTGATCATGTTTGTACACCTTTGCTACCCAGAGGTATTGAACTGATTAGAAGAACTTTTATAAATATACATACATATACATGAAATATAACTAAGATTCAAACAACACTCATACAAACAACAGATCCCCTAAGTCTAGAACCAAAAAAGGAACAGGAAATAAAGTGAGTTATCAGTCCTAAGCCCTTTCAACCTTATTTATATAACTATATCTATATAGACATGATTTTGACAATATATAACTTTAAAAGAGTTTTGTAAAACAATAAACAGTTTATAAAAAAGAGGTTTTACCATTTGAATGGTTTTTGATGACTTGATGGCAGTTGATAAAATGATTTGAAACAGTTTGTTTGATAACAAAGTTTTAAAGTATAAGAAATCCTCTTGTTTGATAGTTATAAATCACATGTGATTGATACTATAGCTATAATGTTTTCTACTTGTATTCCCCCCATAAAAGCATTTAAAATCATTTAAAAGATAAGTTTAAGGGTATGAACTCACCTGTAGTGAGTGATTCGAATGAAAGATCGATATAGGATGCTAAGTATGTCAAGTGATGTCTTGAGCACAAACGGATACTATTAAGCATATAATGACACATATATGTATATAATTAATGTATGTAACAACTAATCATGTATTAGAAACATCCCTAGGAACTAGGAATCACTCAAAATGGAGTTTATCAATGACATATGATTGATTTAAGAGAGTTTACGGCCACACTACAAGTGTTCACAGCCATAAGGGTGTTTATGGCCAAGAGTACTTGACTTTAAGAAGGTTTTGCGGCCCTTACTTATGAAGTGTTTGCGGCAATGTGATGAAGGGTTCACGGCCACCTCATGAGCTAAGAAGGGTTTACGGCCCCAAGAAGGGTTCACAACCGTAAACTCTTGAAGTTTATGCATTTTGGTCCTTGATTCATGCTAAAAGGCTATTTGTTTCATGAGGCTTCAAGAGTTTCTAGTGGGTTCCAAGAATATGGAAAGGATACTTATGATTTGGAAGCCTTTATGGGTTCACGGCCACCAAGAACAAGTATGTGTTCTTGGTGTTCTTGGTGAAAGATGATGATCTTGAAGATCTAAGCCAAAAATGATGAATTCATGGATGAAATTAGGGCTGTAAACGAACCAAACGAACACGAACAAGGTCTTGTTCATGTTCGTTCGTTTAAGTTAGCCGAACAACAAATGAACACAAATGGATAAACGAACGAGATTTTCTTGTTCATGTTCGTTCGTTTAACAAATTACTTTGTTCATGTTCGTTCATTTATGTTCATGAACATGCTAAACGAACATAAACGAACAAAGATTTAAAAAAAAAAACACACACACACACACAATTGAACATAT